AAAATATTATATTATACATCATTTGATATTATCATTTACTTTATACATATCAGTTCATATATTATTTACTAGAACGCAAACTTCTTAGCCGACCCCCGCACATTGCTATATTATGGGTTGGTCAATAGAGAAGCTCTTATATAAGAGTTAAGCGTGCATTGAAGCGAAACTGTTAACAATGCGACGTTTACTCAGTCAATGGGTCGGGCAGTCAATAGAACTATCGATTACACTCGAGCATATATAATAGAAATCTCTCTCCATATATAATTATATGTGTACACATTAGATAAGTTCCTCAAGCAGGGCCTGCTGCAGTATGCTTGGACAGTTCCCAGTTCGCAGTTCGTTCGTTTGTTCTTCCGCAAGGCCTTTAAAGGCCTGGACGTCTGTGCATTTACAGCACCCCCGGTACAGTCATAAAGCCAAAATCAGTTCACAACTCGACTCATTGTCTCGCCCACACACACACACACACATACATGAATTGACGCACGCACACACGGCGTATACGCAACGCCCACACTTGCAGCAAGTGCTTCAATGGCAAAGTTGACTTACTCGAAGGCAACATAACAATATACTACACATATACATACATATTCGAGTCGGTCAATTTAATTACAATTCCAATTGCAATCGCACTCAACTGGCATGCATTTCATTAGTCAATTCGAAAGCCTGTTTTTTTTCCATTTTTTTCTCACACAGACATGAACTATCCATATTTGGACGCTTGAATGCCAAGGTCGCACAAATATTCAAAATAAATGTATCTTTATATATTGTATATGTATATATAGCTATTTACGTGTTACAAAACACAAAAGCACAGATTTTTTCGAGTTTTTTTTTTCGGTTTCGTGCATAAATTTTGGAGAGAAACGAGACAACAATGATGAGCGATGGAGCAAGGCCGCTGCCCTCCGAAACGGGCAGAGTTCGCTCGCATGCGAGCTGCAGGTTGTAAACGGCGCTAATTGAGCACCCAATGACAAAAAGCCTTAACAATAACAACAGCAACAACAACAACAACAACCTGACTCCATATATTTAGGTCAAAAAGCCAAACTGAGACTGTCAAGTGTGCAGTTTATATAGATATTCTAGCTTATGGCTAATCGAATTGCAATCAATTTTTTTTGCGATTTTTTTCTGTCTGTCTGTCTGTCTGCAGCCTAAATACTCTATCAACTGCATTTAATTGACTTTGTTGTTTCTGTCGACTTATTTACTCAAACTGTTCCCATGACAAGCGCTAGCGTGCAGTGTTCCCAAGCTATTTGTATGTTAACTTAACAGCGCTCGAAAATGCCGCGACTTAAACGTTATTTCATAAAATTTAATAGCTAATTGAAGGAAGCCTTTTGTGCATATTGTGTACGCTGCCTTTTGTTGCCTTTAATGGCATTTAATTTGGAATGGCTGCCAGTAGGGTTTTGTTTGCTTGAATAGTGTTAACATGGCTTTAACAGGGCTACTTGTTGTATATTGTGTGTGTGTGTGTGTGTGAACAATGTATACAGCTGCATAAATTTAAACGAATACATATACATACATAAAAAATATATAAGCTATACGGAAAAGTTAACAACTAGCTAACATTGCCTTAACCTACTCCAATATCATTAAAGCTATTTCCTATATCTCCTACATTTCAAGCTGTATAAATTTTGTAAACAAATTAGTTTATGCAAGTATTGAGAGGCTAACATGCAGTTGACAGAGGTTTATGCTAATTAATTAACAGTGATTCAGAATTTTTGTATTATATAACTACTAAACATTTAGAATTGTTAATTAACAGTGATTGAACTTTTTTTTATATGTCTGTTAAGCATTTGCAGCTGCTAATGCTTAATTTTATACACATAATTTTATTAGTATTTGATATACAAAATTAACATCTTGTTAACATAGGCTTTATTGAATATGCTAGTTATGCTACATGAAATGTTATGAGGATGGATGTGCTACAGGGCTTTTCTCTCGTTTAATCATATTTTAAAATGTCTTTGCCTAACAGCTTAGCATTTCCAGGGTTTTAAAATCCATTTTATGTAAAACTTTTAATAGGAAAATACTAACAAATTTGAACATTCCGTTAACAGATTATAAATAAGCTTTCCATATGCATATCTAACTATACTTCTTGTCTATTGCGTGCCTTTAAAAGTCGGTGTGATGCATAAGTTTAATATAGATTAAAAAACAATATAAACAAATTCACATTTAGTTAACATAGATTTAACAAACTTATCGCTGAAAAGCATCTGCCGCTAGCTAGGACAGCTAGGACAGCTAGGATATAAAATGTGCTGCTGCTTCTTCAGCTCGACTCTGCCTCGACTCGCACATATGCTTAGCTGCTGGGACATATGAGATGAAACTTTTTCACAGACAATAGCAATTTATGAGCGCTTGTTTATAATATCCAATCTCGCATAGCTTCCTTCCTCACACACACACGCACACACACACATATTCGCAAGTCAAGAGACTTGCAAATTCAAAGGTTATGCGCACATGACAACAACCACGACAACAACAACAGCACAATGATAACAGCAATAGACAACACCCCCACTACAACAACAACAACAATAACAACAACAACAACAACGACAACAACAACATCAACTCTGGCAGCTTAAGTGGAGCTCTTGTTGCTGCCTCTTGTTGGCAACTATGTGCGAGATTTTTATGGCCATCCATAGAATATTTGTGTGTGCTGCATGGCTCGAGCAGGAGCTGGCCGAAGCGGTGGAGAGCGGGCTGGGCGGTTGACTGGAGCAGAGCAAACAAACAGCAACAGACACGCGATTGTCTCGCCGGCTGCTGACAGCTGCAGAGATAAAAAGCTTTATGTCAAATGGCAGAAATTGCAAAGACGCATGCGGAGAAAGCTTCGAAACTACCGTGCATGTGTGTGAGAGAGTGAGAGAGAGAGAGAGAAAAGCAGAAGCTGAAAAAAAAGAAGCAGCAGCAGTTGGAACACGCCCCAAATGTGGGCCACAAGCGAGCTTCACTATTTATTATGATTGTTGCTTGGCTGTCAGTTATGTCGGTACATTAAATAAAAAATAACAACAACAAAAGACAACAACAACAAACTTTACATGCTTTCGCACAAACAATGCTAATTAACGCCCATTGAGAGATGCGCTGTTAATGATTAAAATACATATATAAATATACGTATATACATATATAAACATCTCTCTATATATGAGACCCATATAACCTTTTCCTTCGCTCATTTCGCTCAGGTGCATGACTGGGCCACGGACTTCTGCGACGGCACCTGCCTGTGCGCCTTGGTGGAGAACCTGCAGACGCGTCCGCTGAAACCGTCGTGGAACCGCCGACCGGCCAATCAGCATCATTATCTGGAGAATGCGACGACGGCGCTCAAGTCGATCGAGGCGGATCACATCAAGCTGGTCAACATCGGCAACGTGGACATTGTCAATGGCAATGTGAAGCTGATACTCGGCCTGATCTGGTCGCTGATCGTGCGCTATCAGATCGGACGCAGCAAATTCCCGCCCAGGAAGCTGATGCTGGCCTGGCTGCAGGCAGCGCTGCCCGACTGCAAGATCACCAATCTGACCACCGATTGGAATAGCGGCGTCAACCTGGCCGCACTGCTGGACTACTGCCAGCCGGGCCTGTTCCCGCACTGGCGCAGTCTCGATCCTAGTCAGAGTGTGCGCAACTGCACCAATGCCATGAATCTGGCGCAGCGCGAGTTTGGTGTGCCCAAGGTGCTGGAGCCGGAGTATCTAGCCTCGCCCTGGCTGGACGAGTTGTCCGGCATGACGTACCTGTCGTACTTCATGAAGCCCGGCGGACCTGGCTACAATGCCACCATGCGCTGGGTCAACACTCAGGTCAAGGAGCCGGTGAAGAATTTCACGGTGAGTCGAAATCGGAAACTGTTTAACTGTACTATCAGAAAGAGACGGCAAGTGCAGTTCATTCCACTATCCTATGTTTCCTCTATTGCTATCCATCTTTCTCTCTCTCTCTCTCTCTCATCAATTATATATTCTCGAGTATCCTTACTTTAAAGTCCCTATCTCTTTCATTTGCTTTTCATTCCTATCTCTATTGGTCTTTCTCATAGTCTATACTCTTCATATTTTACTGGTACCCACTGCTCTCACTCTCTCTCTCTCTCTCTCTGTCTCTCTCCCTCTCTCTCTACGCTAATCTCTTCATCTCTTTATCATTCTCTTCCTGCTTTGTCCTCTCTGCTCCTCATAGTTTTCTAATATTTTTCTTCCTCCTCTCCCTCTCTCTCTCTCTCTCTCTCTCTCTCTCTCTCTCTCTCTTTCACACACATACTCCCCTTTATGGTTCCATCTCGTTCCTTTCTCTCTCACACCATTAAAATATATTGATTTTTATTAAAGATTCCGCTCTCATTGTGAATTCCCTTTCACTTTCTCCCCTTTCACCTCCCCTCCTCATGTTGGCCCCCCTGTTCGCCTCGTTGGGCTGCCAATCCAATTGCATGACTTTAATTTTAATTGTGTATTTTAATTGTAATTGCTTGAACTATTAATTGCATGGCATTGTAGACCGACTGGAACGATGGGCGCGTGCTGTGCGAGGTCATCAAGGGATTGGGCGGGTCGGCGCCAGCGCCAGATAAGCTGAGCACCGATCCCTTCCACTTTGAGAACAATATACGCAAGGCGGTCGATGCGGGCGCCAAGCTGGGCGTCCAGCCCATATTGACGCCCAAGGACATGGCCAATCCGGAAGTGGAGCATCTGGGCATCATGGCGTATGCAGCCCATCTGCAGTGGGTGCCGCCCCGGCCGCCGCTCTCCGACCTGGTCAACGTGTACTTGGAGAGCACATCCGGCCGTGTGGGCGAACCGGTGAGTGAGCTCGCCCGAGCCCGACTGGGCATTAATGCTTAATAACCATTTCACACGCAGACGCATTTCCGGATCGACGTGCTGTCGCGGGACATCAGCTTGAGCTCGGTCCGTTGTCACGTGGTGCCGCCATCCGGGCAGCCCGGCCAGTCGGTGCGCTTGAATGTGCACGGCGAGGGCGTCTACGTGCCGGAGCGCTACGGCATGCACGAGATTGTCGTCGAGATTGGCGAGGACAGCCTGGGTGGCCATTTCTTCCGGGTGCTGCCACGACTCCTGCAGGTGGCGCCGCCCGGCATGGCGCCCTGCGCCCTGGGCAGCCTGGTCGAGGTGCTGGTGAATGCGACGGGCGCACCCAAGACGGAGGACATTTTGGTCACGGCCGTCTCGCCCACGGGCATCTCGCACAACTGCCCGCTGAAGAAGATCGACGAGGGACACAGTGCCATATTCAAGCCGGATGAGGCGGGCATCTGGGAGATAGCGATCACCTACCAGGGCCGTCACATCCAGGGCGGACCCTTCACCTGTGCCGTCTTCGATGCCTCCGGCGTCTCGGTGCACGGCCTGGACGGTGCCATGCCGCTGCGCGCTCACACCTTTGAGGTGGATGCCCGTGGCGTGGGCGTCAACGGGGAGCTGCACGTGGACATTGTCCATGACAAGCATTCGCTGGTCTGCTCCGTGGAGAAGATCGTGGACAACAAGTACCGGGTGACCTTCATGCCGCGCCAGAATGGCAAATATCGTGTCTACATCTACTTCAATGGCTACGACGTCAAGGGCTCGCCCTTCATGTGAGTGAATCCCAATTGGTGGATATATATGTATATATGATTCCTTGTCTAATTGCGCTGCTTCCTGAATCCACAGCATGCGCGTGGGCACGAAAGGTCGCTCGGGCAAGACGCGCAGCAGCCCGCTGCACGAGAGCAAACACCGCTCGGAGAGCCCCTCGATGCACTTCATCTCCACGACGAACACGCGCCACAACGACTATCGCAACAGTTCGCTCAATCGCCGGGATCTGCACACGCACAACACGGCGGAGCGCACCAGCAGCTACTCGCCCCAATATTCGCCGAAGCTGGACACGACCGACTATCACAGCTCCAGCTCCAGGTACTACAAGCGGGAGAGCGAGGTAAGTGCAGGAGGCGGAGCATCGCTGACTTTCATTCTAAGCACGTGGCATGGGCTCTGGGTTTAATGCTTGGCACAATTCAACACAAAATTCAATGTTTTGGCTAACACACACACACACACACACACACACGTACCGCCCCTGACCCACACACACACGCACACACACACACACACTCAAAATTGCATTCGACAGGAGAACAATGGCCCGTCCCCCACACCGAACTCACCCACAGTCAAATACCTGAACTCAGCCGATCTGTATACGGAAACGGGCAACGCTCGTCGCGACTCGAAGGCGTCCAACAGCAGCTCCACGAAGAACGACTACTACTACGACAAGGAGAACGAGCTCTATAGCCAGCGGCGCATTGTGAGCAAGCCGAAGCTGACGCCGCCGCGCGAGGAGCGAGAGCAGCTGAACGGCATCGGCATCGGCATCGGCAGCATCAGCAGCAGCAGCAGCAGCTATCAGCGGCATCAGCAGCAGCAGCAGCAGCTGACTAGCTCGCTCAGTCCAATACCCAGTCCCACACTGAATGTAACTAAATTTCAACTGTTTGATATGATAACTAAAGAGATGCCTCTGATATGACATGCTATGTGTATGACAAACTGAAATCTGGCAAACTATTAATACTCCCTCTCTCTCTCTCTCTCTCTCTCTTTCTGTTTCCTCCTCCTGCTTCACAGACCCGTTCAAGCGAGGTGCACTCGCACAGTCCGCTGACCATCAAGACATCGAATCAGTTTGAGAGCTCGACGCGCAACATCACCAGCAGTCCGCGCCACGCCTCCGCCTCGCCGGTGCAGCGCTATTCGCCCAACAATGCGTACATCAGCACCGCCACACATCGCATTGGCAGCCCCGTGACCAGCACCCTGAACAAGGTAAGTGGGGTAGGGTCAAGCGTTGTAGCCGATATACCAACTAAAGTCGGAACTCCTTTGCCTTTACAGAACGGCTACGAGTCCACGCGTGTGGAGAAGTCGTCCACTTACAAGTCCACTTCAAACTATGTCACCGACTCGAGCGTGCGTGCCAGCCCCTCGTTGTATGGGACAGCGGAGCGACTGCGTCGCACTGGCTCCCCCGAGCCGCGCATCGATCACTCCTCCAATGTGCGCGTCTCGTCGATGAAGCCGGCGTCAGCTCGCCGCGATAGCTGGGATGTGATCAACAAGACGAAGCATATGCTCTCGCACAATTCGCTCGAATCGCTGGCGAATATGACCGAGACGCAGCTAAATACGGAGCTCAACTACACACGGCCGGACCTGGACAATGAGACGCAGCGCAATACACAGTACAACAAATTTGCGCTGCACAAACAGCAGCAGCAGCAGCAGCAGCACCATCAAACGGACTATCGACGGGATTCACCTGACGACGTGGATCGCTACAAGTAAGGCCAGACCTTAACAGAATCCCAGTGCTCCCAAATTAAAATACCCTCTCTCTCTCTCTCTCTCTCTCTCTCTCTCAGACCTAGTGCCATCACTGTCAAGTCCCATTCGAACAACACCTATACCGATAAATCGGGCGGCTATACGAAGACCGTGAAGGAGTCCAGCGAGCATATCGTCACGGAGAGCAACGGTCACAGCTTGACAAGTGCTCCCGGCTATGGCTACAGTTCGCTGTCGCGCTTTCGTCCCATAGACAGCAATGCGACCGGTGCTCGAGCCATACGTGTACAGGACATACCCAACGGTTCGATTGGACGACCTGTGGAGTTCGAAATCGACGGCTCCAAGGCTGGCTCTGGCAATCTGGAGATATTGGTCAATGGCGGTCGGGTCACCTCATCGGTCCGTTCGCTGGGAGGGCAGCGTTTCATTGCCAGCTTTACGCCTCACGAGCATGGAACGCACACCGTGCAGATCACCTTCAACGGAGAAACGGTACCAGGTGAGCGGAACTAAATTCATATGTGACGTAATATCTGTGTATTGTGTAGCGTGGGCGTTATAAATCTCATAAGACGACATCGGCATTCTTGCGATGCGAGTCGTTTGTTTTTAGCCCTCGCCCGAATTGGACATGCCTAGTAGATTGGCATTTGTGCTTTGGCTTGAGGGGTCTTCAAGTATTTGCCAAAGTTGAATTATTGATCCCATATAGAAGCTGAAACTGTAATTTGCGAGGGTAGTCTGATCGATTTTATATTATAAGAATTTTCTGATCTAGTCTAACTCAAAATTGACCAGATAACATTGTTTAAGCAGACATTTATAAGATTTTTAGAAATCCATAAATTCATTATATATTTTTAAAAACTTATCTTATCTATTTAAACTTCAATTCAATTTATGTGTTGAAAAGTTTCTGATAATAATAATAAATAAAATATCTTATTATAGATTGCAATACATACAACAAAAAATCTACATTAAAAATAGTATATTAATATATTTATCATATCTTGAATTCATATATGAGCTGAATCAATTTAAAGCTCACAACAGATAATATTGAGAAGAGAACATATTGGTTGCTATGAAATGCTCTGTTAAAGCTTGTTATTAAGAGTATTATACGCATTTACTTCAATTAAAATCAACCTAAATTAAAATATTTAATCATTATCATCATATCAAATGCGTTGCACACCACGGTGCGGCGAATTCAGCACTGCGCTCAAGAGTTTCTAAGCTGCGCTGCCACCACTTGCATTCCTTCGGCTCACCTCAGTTTACTATCTATTCTATTGTACCAATTTCGTTTCCTCTGAGCAAAAATATGAATAGAATATTTAGTCGTGCTACTATGACGAATTCGCCTCGCAATGAAAGAGTGCATAACTTCGCCCGAGCCGAGAGAGTCTAAGCTGCGCTCTTCGCGCTCACCACTTGCATTCGTTCAGCTCACCCTGAAACTCACCACAGATCACTTGTTGCTGCGCCTACCTGCGAGGCGCTCTTTTACGCTCCGGTGCTCGTGAGCACTGAGCGACCTGCTGAACAAGTTTCTGGTGTGAGTTGAGTTGGCAGCAGCAGCAGCAGTCGCAGTCAGTCATAGCTCGCGATTCGAACGTAACTGACACGTCGCCGCATTGTCATTTGAAGCGGATCGCAACGGTTAAAGCCAAGAAAAAAATACACAAGAGAAAGAAGAAATAAGAAAACGCAAACGCTTGAAGTTTGTGTGATTGTGCAGAGTGAAAAAGAAAAGAATTGTTTGTAATCAAAAAGCAACAAAGACAATAACATTGTCAAACGGTTAACAACTAAAAAAGAAACAAACAAAAAAAAAACAACACAAATTAGATAAAGAATTTGTTTCTTCTTTTCGTGTGGAATGTTTAGCGAAACGAGAAGATTTTTTCGTGAGATTTCTATGGAAAAGAAAGATGCTAATATTCCAATGCGGACGTCGCGTTCCCGTTCCCTCACCCGTCATTTCGCCGTGCCGTTGCCTTCCCCTTCCCGTTTGCCATCGCTCCAAAAACTTAGTTGCCCTCGTCGCATTTGGATTGCTCTCTGTCTGCATGTGTGTGTGTGTGTGTGTGTTGCGTGTGTGGGGCGCGCGCTACCAAAATGAAAAAAATATAACTCGACAACAATAAGTAAAATAAAACTAAAACCAGTTTAATGAACCTTTAAGCTGAAAATATTTTCAATGGGACTAGACAGCTGCTGCGGCTTAATGCTCAAAATCGCTTGGAATCAACGTCCAAAAGCGTAGAAAACTGTCGCCCTGCAATTTGCAATGTTCATTGAACATGATTCAACTTTGTTCAGAGTATTGGTATCTCTCCCTGTGTGTGTGTGGCAGCCATTTTGTTAAGAGCTTGCAACATGCCACAACCGCAATTTGGTTCGTTTATTGGCCAAGTTAAAGGCCCCGTGCAGCAGTAGACATAATCGAGCGATAGGCGCGCATAGTTCATAGTTGCACACACACACAAACACACACACAAGCGCTTGCAACGTTGCAGCAGCGGAAAGTGCTCTGCTATCATTTTTTTTTGCGCAGCTTGATGTTTGCTTTGCAATTTTCAATCTGTTGTCGTCGACGTTGCTGGCTTTGCTATGTGGCACAAGGCGCACTTGTTGCATGCCTTTGTTGGCCGTTACAGCAGGAAGTTGCACGCCCTACGACAAAGCCACAACAACAAAGCAACAGCAACAGCAACAGTAACAAGAGAAGCAATATCAAGAGATACGCACACTGTTTGCCTTAGCACTTAATGCGGCTGCAGCTGGAAACCCGTTGGGATAGGTTGTCAGCCTGTTGTTGTACCTGTACAACAATATATAAATACATACATACATACATACATGCACATGTATGTATGCAACTGGTGGTATGCGGCAAGGGCGTGCCGGTGGGCAGTTGGCCAAGTATGCGTGAGATCAACACAGATTGCAATTTCTTTTGCAGCGACAACGTGGCTGCCACTTACTTTCCCACTCGACTTGACACAACACAAATATTTAAGCGAACATTTCATTTTCGTTTCGTTTTTTAAGTTGTTTTCTCTTCACATCTCACTCTACCCCCCCCCCCTCCCCTTTTTCCTCTCTCTCTCTCTCTCGCACGCGCTTGTATAATGAGTTGTAGCCACACCTCTGTCTTCAGCTCAAGCCAAGCCAAGCTGAGCTACGCTGCGCTTTTACCCCGCTGCTGCTGCTGCTGTTGCTTTTTGGCCATTTCCGCTGTCCAACATATTGGCATACATGCCCAAAATTTCACAGCTATCCACTGCCACTGCGCCGCCCCCTCCTCCTCGCCCTTATCGCCTCTAACTCTCTGCATTTTTGTGATTTCATGAGCCACATTCAAAGTGAAATTTTTTTTTTTCTTTATTTTGACTGCCCGCATGGCGCTCGAGCAACTGGTTTTTTGAGCGACGGTCAACAGAAATATGTGTGGATAAAGAGAAAAAAGCAAATCCAAATGATAAATTACAAATCGTTTGAACTTTTAATTGTATATACACACATAATACATTTTCTTTTCCATTTTTTTTTTTTCTTTTTGCAACGACCGCGGAAAATGTCGGTGAAAAAAACGCGATAAAAACGTGCGTGATTCGTGATTTTCGTGACATCAGTAAAGTGCTCTGAAAACTAAATTTGTTTTTCTCTGTTGTTGAAATTCGCGTAGTGCAGCATTTAACACAAGCAATACATATAATATACATATAATTTACACAAATGAAACACACAAAAGCTCTCGAGCTTAAAAATAAATAATATATTTAAAAATTTAACAAGCCGCTGACATAATCGCAGCGCGTTTCACTTGACTTTCAAGTGGTTCAAGTTCAGACGTGCCGCCCGCTCAGCAATTGTGAATTGATATACAAAAGAATAAGGTTCCAATCACGCGTTTTCAGCCAACATCTTGCACTGCCCCAACAACACATCGTCAGCCACAGCCACAAACCAACAATAACAGTTAAAGCCACGCTACCAACGCTCCACGCATCGTCAGCAACCAACAACAGTCAGCACAAAACGTAAATCTCAACTTAAATGCCAAAATTGATAGCAATAGATAGATATGTATGGATAGATAGATGAATGTATATAGATATATAGATATATAGATATATAGACATATAGATATATAGATAAATGGCTATATCGATATATAGATATATAGACTATAGATATATAGGCATGAATCTATGTATTTATATATAGCGACTAAATAAATGACACAGATACATTTAAATATATAGGTACGAAGTATACTCAGGTCAATTTACCTCTATATCAAAATATACTAATAGATATATCAAATATATTACTTAATACACAGTTCTATATGTTCAACTCATTTGCCACAACACATCCCCAAAGATACTTAAGCACAGTTACACATATTAAAGTCCACGCGCCTTAGTAGCATAGATACTTTAACATAGATACATTTTTTTGCCTTAACTATTTGTAACGGTCGCTGTCAGACATTCTAGCTTTGAGTTCTGCTGCTGCCTCTGCTTCTGCGCCTGCTGCTGCTGTGGCGACAGCTGCTGGCCATCTAACGGTTTGCATACCGCAGTCACGTAACCGATTTTGTACACAGACGCACAATCGCACGCTCTCTCTCTCTCTCTCTCTCTCTCTCTCTCTCTCTCTCTCTCTCTCTGTCTCACACACACACATAGGTAAATACTGCGGCACTCACAAACACTCGTATGCATATTGAATAACAGCATTCAAGCATCTATCTACTCTTAGCTGCACTTGTTCTCTGGCCACATGCCGGAAAACTTGGTCGCTGACAAGCCGATAAAACCGGCCAGCGAAAAGTTGCTGATATCAACGAATAGCAAAATACTCTTGCATTTTATAGAATTTGAGAGGAAGCATTTTGTAGTAGTAGAAAATTGAATCTAGGTTAAAGGTTACGAATAATTTAAGACCGATTCAACTAACTTGCCAATTGTATTGCGTGTCTAATTGGAGAGTGAGTCTCTAATTTAAGATTATAACTAAGAAGGGAGCACCTCCTTATAGCTATATATAGACTGGAAAGACGATTTATCGTACACTAAGCAATTTATCTTCAATTGCACTTCAATGGCTCCTAGAGTAATTTAGGAGAAAATAAGATCAACTAAAGGTTTGACGAATTAAAGGCGATGATGTCTTCGATATCAATAACAATTAGATGTTAGATATTGTAGATAGTCAGACTATAATAGCTATATGTTAATTTATATATATTTTTACATAAATTTGTGTCCTTATATTTTTTAAGCTTTATCGTATTTTCTACTACAAAGTATTAATTTTTATGGTTAATAATTGCATGTAAAAAGGAAAAAAAAATGTATGCCAAAAAAAATAAATAAATAAATTAGAATACTTATATAGTATAGTATAGTATAGTATAGTATAGTATAGTATAGTATAGTATAATATAGTACTATAAGCAACTCTCAATCTAGTCTCATGAGTCCACAAAAACAAAAATGCAAAATTGAAACAAAGAATTCTCTTGCCGCAAAAGCCACGAATTGTGAATAAAACTCATCAGTCAATAGATAAAAGCCGACAAAAAAGAAAAAGAAAACGAATGCCGTCAAAGAGTTAGACCGTTAGTTGGCAATGCAACCAAAGCTCGCGTTGCAGGCATTTTGTGTGGCTGCCACATGTTGAATGTGCCACTGACAAAGAGACAGACAGTCAGACGGACACACAGACGGACAGAGCTAAATTTATGAGCATGGGAAACTTTTACTTAGATGTTGGCGATGTTTATTAGACGCAACAGCTAACTGTTGTTAGCATCCGAGCTGTTATTAGGTGATAAATGTGGCAACAAAGTGTGCCACCAATTGCTGGTCAACGATATTCAAGAAGCAGAAGAAGAAGAAGAAGAACATGAACAGCAACATGCAAATTGAGCTGCTTTTTGTTAGCCAAGTATGACAACAACCGAGTTCGAGGTTCGAATTTGAAGAAGTTTCTCAGGGCTTCATATTTTTTGCTCTTTTTTACTGTTGTTGTTTGCGCAACTCAAATCGAGTGTTGAGCGACAATGCAACAGTTTGATTTTCCATTGAACTGGGCAGCTGCTGCTGTGGCAATTTTCATGGAAAGCCATAAAAAGTGGCAAATGCAACCGAAACGAGCGCTAAAAGGAAAAGTGCAGCACACGAAAGAAAAAAGTACGCGAAAGAGAAATGTGTGGAAAGTTGCAAACAAAAGTAAATTTCTTGCAACAACAGCAACAACAGCAACAACTGCAACAACAGCAACTACAACAACAATAACAGCGGCAACTACAACAATTGAGTAAATCAATAAAATAAGCAAACATTTAACGAGCTGCTCGTAATTGCCAATTGCTGCAAGTTCAACTCGCTTAGCTCATGCAATGTGTCTGGAGCTCAGGTTTCAAGCAGTTTGCCGCATGCCGGTACAGTCGGTCCCAGCTAAAGCAAACAGCGTTGGCCAATTAATGTGCCATAATGTGTTCGAGTCGATTGTCCAAGCATTGCCACAGCCCACTTAACTGCCGCAAATGCAGTTGCAGTTGCAGTTGCAGTTGAAGTTGCAGTTTGCCACTGCAATTGCCATTGCAGCTACAGATACAAATGGAGATACGGATACAGATAGATACAGATACAGATAGATTTCAAGCTTGGCAGATACGAGAAATGCGCAGCTCACGATACGCACTCATCGCTCAGCTGGCAACGAGGCGGCACAGATTGCGTTGCCATGGCAATTGCGACAATTATAATGGGAGGTAGCGGAAAACAATGCGAGTTTAACTAGAAACCTTGTTTCGACTAGCATACGAGGGCTGCCACGCTAATTGCTCGAATTACATGTTTACAAGTTTGAAGGAAAAATAAGGCAAAGCATTAAATAAAGAAAAATATATACGAATTTTTTTTTATATATATTTATGAATTCAGACTTTATATTTTTGTATCCTTTATATGTATTTATTTCTATTTAATTTATATAAAATTAGTCAAAAACATACAGTAAGTTTTAATGGAGCATAACTGAATAAATTGATCGCTTAAATATGAGATTTTTTCGGAGACTTACATATAATAATAATAATATGTATTTATTTCTATTTAATTTATATAAAATTAGTCAAAAACATACAGTAAGTTTTAATGGAGCATAACTGAATAAATTGATCGCTTAAATATGAGATTTTTTCGGAGACTTACATATAATAATAATAATATGTAATATA